GCCAGAGGAGGCCAATCCTCGGGTCTAAAGCCACCAGCCCAGAGCCTGCGCTGCCAGGCCTGGTGATATCATGGCCCACCAGGCCTACCCCAGAGTGCCCAGTGGAGGGGCTCTGGTGGCCAATCTGTCCATATCATCTTGCCTGTCCTGCCTTTAGCTGACTTCAGAAGCTGGAGCTTCCCAGGTCAAGGAGGGAACGCGTGTGGGGCCTATCACACCCCTGCCAGGGGGACATCCTATCCATGTTCCTGAGGAGACTTAGGGGCTAGAGATGAAGTCACTATAGCGTGCTCCTCCCATGCTAAGCCTGGTGTGGCCCCAGATGCCCAGGGCCCCAGAGCACCCGCGCAGTCTCATCCGCCACCACAGAACCGTCTCAGCCCAGCCTGAGCACAGAGGCCCTTCCCTTTCTTCTTTCCTCCTGGAACACAGCCCGCAAGCTATTTACATAAATATGTTTGTAACAGACACGAAAATATATACTTTTTTCTGTCTTATTAAAATGTTCAAGTTGGAACTCGCCTATTGTTTGTGGATATCTCGATTCTGTTAAATAAAACAGTGACTAATTTATGGGATAAAACACAAGTTCAACAAATTAAAACCATTATTGGAGCTCCCGTGGGGCCTGGGGGGAGGCAGAGAGCCAAGCCCCGACCTCAGCGTGGGTGGGTGGTGCGACCACAGGCTCCCTCTGGGCATCCTCTTGGTGGGCAGCTCTGGGAGAACTGCCCAGGGGAGGGAGGCCAGAGACTCAGGGCAGTTTGCTGACCTTAACCAGACCCCAAAACTGCCCCCCCCCAAAAAAAACTGCCCCCTGACCACAGGTCTCTTGGGCCTCGGGAACCCACACACGCTGGGCAGGAGGAGGCCAGGCCTGGCCAGAGGCAGAACAAGCGGGGCCCAGAGCAGTGATCATGAAGGGCCCGAGCCCAGCTCAGGAAAGGGGCTGGAGTGTCAGGGGAGCAGGACACTGTGCCCAGGCCAGCCCACTGCACCAAGTCCCAGGCTCTACTCCAGAGGGCAGAGGGGTATCCATACATCCCCACTGGGCACTTGTGCCCACTCTGAGACTGCAGGAGGGGAGCCTGCTGCTATGGACGGCACCCTTGCAAGGCCAGGGAGTGGGCCCTACACCTGTGGCTGGCTGGACTCGCAGGAAATGCAGTAAAACATGTTCTCTCTGGGATTTAATTAGCTGTGGTATGTGATACTCCTATCCAAACCGGGGCAAATTCTGGAGTTTTGTGACCTCAGAAAGAGTCAGAACCAGCTGCACAGGCTCATGGCTGAGCTCAGAGGCCTGCCCACCTCCCACTGACCTGACCCAACTGGGGCAATACGAGCAGCAGCATCACCCATGGGGAGCTGGAACTGGCATCCAAGGAGTGGCCTTGCCCTCAGTCTGCCTGGACACAAAATAATGGGGCAGCCCCCCTCTCTGGGCACCACATCCAGGACATTGGACAATGCATCCATACACAGCCTTGGTCCAGGGCCAAGGCCAGGGCACAGATGTAGGGGACAAAGCACTGCTGCCCCAGCCCTGGGTCAGGCCCCTTGGCCACCTTGCAGGGAGGAGAGGCCCCAGCCCCCGGGAAGGCCAGACAGGAGGTGACTCCCAGGAGGCCCAGAGCCAGTGTCAGAATAGCCAAACCCAGCTGCTTGGTCTCATAGGAGCCCCACACCACTGGAGGGTCCTCACAAGAAAACCTCCCGGCCCTGAGCCTCCCTCGGCCGGCTGCCACACCTGTGTCCCCAGGGCCCCCTTGGAACTGGATTGGGGCTGGAAGCAATCCTAGGCTGTGGGGTGGAAGGCTGGACTGAATGTAAAGGGTTTGTTTAGAACCATGGACCTTTAAGGAAGGTCTTTGCAACACCTGTCAAAGCACAAAGGTTCCAGGCATTTTCCTTATGAAGCCCTAACACTTCTCATGTCTTCTAGGAGAACATGAACTTTAAAGTGCTGGATAAACTTAGTTGGGCCTGGTGACAGGCACCTGTGGTCCCAGCTACTCGGGAGGCTGAGATGGGAGGATGGTTTGAGGCTACAGTGAGCTATGATGATGCCACAGCACTCCAGTCTGGGCAACAGAGCAAGATCTTATCTCTAAATAAATATAGAACACTACTATGAAAGGAAACCATTAATGTTTTTTGTGATTCAGGCAGTCACCCCGTGGTGCATTAAAGAGAGCATTGGAGAGCCATGGACTGAGCTGTGGCCAGCATCAGAAGGTATTCAGGGGGGCTATCAGAGCGTGGGGCCCACTGGGCCCTGTGAGCACATGTATGCCACACCCATGTTGGTGCATGCCAGCTTGGATGTGGAGCAGGTGGTGACTACATACCCAAACAGTGGCCTGGAGGTGTCTGCTGTGTCACTCTGCTTGGCTAGGCAGGGGCTGGTCCAGTGCAGCAAGGAGCAGAGGCCAGAAGAGCAGGGCACCCCCAGGGTATCATCTCACCTCCGGTGGGAGCCCCATCCTTCCTGTTGGACCCACCTGGAGCTTCTGACCCTCCCCTCTGGTGCCTCAGCTGGAGCCAGTTTAAACAACAGATGGGAAACATTAGGATTAAGTCAACTCCTGGGGACCAGGTTGTCTGACCCAGGGAGAGCTGCTCCTGCCCACATTCTTCCTTTCTCTTGGGCAGGACGCAGCAGGAGGGCAGTAGAGGACCTTCCAGAAAACTCTTTCACTTCCATCTGGGCTTGAGGGTCCCGAAAGACAAGCAGAATTTGCTGTTCTGTTAGAGAAGCAGTTCACACACGCTGAAGACCTTCCCGCTTTTATTAGAGAGTAAGGGAGAGGGAGGGAGGGAGCAAGAAAGGGAGGGAGGGAAGCAGGGAGGAGAGAGTAGGGAGACAGGGAGGGCACCATGCGGAGAGACTGCAGTGATGCCACAGGAGAAAGGGAGAAGGGGCAAGAAGACGCTCTCAGTCTTGTTCCCGGCCATACTGATTCCTAAACATCAGATATGATAGGTTTTCCTTCCACGAGAAGGAAACAAAATCAGCACTTTGGGGTAAGAACTCAGCAGCTCCTTACCTGACCTTGCAGGGTCATGCTCCTTTTTCCCACCTGGGGGTCCCAAAAGGTGCCTGCAGGGCTGAAGAGCAACTGCACCCGCCAGCACCAACTGACCCCCCCACCCCCGCCTCAGCCCCTCCTGAGAGGGCGCAGTCCCCAGGCAGCCAAGACCCCATCCCCAGGAAGCTCTCTTGCTACTTGGCGGGTTCCTTTAGGTCCCCTGTCTTTCCCAAACATGATGCCCCTGCCCAAGGTGGAACCAGTGAGTCGCCAGAGGAGCTGGGAGAGACCCTGGGGCCGGGGCAAGTGCGTCCAGCAGAGGTCATGACAGTCGTCTCATGGCCTCCAAGCATGGTGCTAGCTCTTTCTTAAAAGACACTTTATAAAAATATACTGTAATTGAGTTAATCATCTTCTCCCTTCCAGAAAGGGCCTGACAAGCGCTGCCCGCTGCTCACTTCTGCCCCATTCCGAATATTTTTACCTTATTTGGATGAAATGCATTATTTTTCTAATGAAAGGCTTTTTTTCAAAGGGCTGTTTTCCCTGGTCCAGCAGCTGCCTTTATTAGGCAGGGCTCACGCCGTTTTGGGGAGGGGTTTTCTCTCCCTGAAATCATGCCAGACTCTGTCCTCAAAGGCCGAATTCGGTGCTCAGGACCCATGGGGGCAAAAGGCCTCCAGGCCACAGGTTTCTGTCCTGTTCTCCTCTGTGCTTGAACCCAGGGATCCACGGGTTACTCGCCCCGCGAAGCCCCACAAGAGTGAAGCCCTAGCTGTGCAGGGAGAGGGGTGCTCAGGTAGGCCCTGGTCACAGCCGAGCTTTTCTTCCTCACACCAGCCCCAGCAGCGATGGCATCGGCCCCACTGGAAGAAGGGCCTCCAAAAAGTCACAGATGATGGCCAACATGCACAAACTAAGGGGCAATTTCTTAGTCACTGACCTGTGTGTTTCCATTGGCCATGGAGGGTCCATGGCACAGCAGGTCAGGGACGTGGCCTGGCCCTCTTGGCCCCACTGGTCCCTCTCTTCCACCTGCCTGGCTCCTGGACACTGGGACTCCTGGGGTCCCCAGGCAGGGCAAGGTCCCCTCATCAAGACAAGGCCAGCAGCCCTGGGAATCAAGAAACCAGCTGCTTCAAGGGTAATAAGGAGGCTGGGGACAGAGAATAAGCCTCATGGTGACCCTCAATCTGGACTCTGCTATCTCCGGGGAACAACAGCTGGAATCATAGCCCAGAGGGGCGTCCTGTGAGGCTGAGTGTGAAAGACGCAACCTGCAGGATGGAAAATAGCCCAGGGGCTGACACTCCGGGTCAGGCTCAGGCCAACCAGTGTCCTGCTGCCTCCACAGTGTCAGGAAGGGTTTGCTACATGGGGAGAGGAAACTGGGGCCAGGGCTGAGATATCTTCTGGGACAAAACACCCACAGGGCCAAGTGTCTGCCCAGCCACCATGCCCTCCTCCCTCACAGGGCAGGGAAGGGCATCTCCGCCTGTAGTGACTGTGTCCCCTCAAGGTGCATGAACATTACTACAGCACCCATGTCCCCCAAGCCAGGTCCTGACACCCTGAGGCTTGACAGCCCCTCGGAAGGAATTCTGCCCTGCTCTTCTGGTTTCAGCCAAATGCTCTGTGAAAGTTGAAGGGAGACAGGGGAGGAAGCGAGGACACACGCCCTCCTGGGAAACACGCATCCATTTAAGGAAGGAGAGCTCATCCCACCGCAGCAGGTCTATATACAGTAACATGCGGTCCCTTCTCCTGCGGTCAGGAAAATGTCGCCTTTGGCAGATCCCTAGGGCTAAGGAATGGCCCCTCTGAGTGTAGCTGAGCAGCCGTGGAAGCCACCCCAAGGCAGGGCCTGCCCACTGGCCCAGCTACCGGGGCTGCCCAGGCTCAGACCCTGCCCTAGGCTTCCCCCACTTCAGGGGCAACAGGGCACCAGGAGCAGACAGGCAGCCATAGGCAGGAATTAAATAGTGGCAACTCGTATTTATTACAATTATGTACAGGCCTCTCTCATATTCTGCAATCTATACATGATCACACAGGTGAACGTGTGCTCCCTGCAGGGAAGGACAGAGGCATCTGTGGGTCAGGAGGGCCCCGGGCCAGGCTCGTCAGGGGATTAGCTGAGCCGTTACATGGCACACGGGGGCGGGCCCAAGTGCAGGGTGGTTTCATTTGTCTGGGAGGACAACAGGGCACAGCTGAGGCTGGGGACAGGCACCCCAGGGCTGTGGGGACAGGGCTGGAGAGGGTGAGAGAGATGGTGGACACCAGAGGAACTACAGCTCCTCCTCTGCCGAGGAGTGGGCAGGCAGGTGACGACTAGCTCTGGCCATGCGCGGTGTCACGGTAGTCAAGACACGCAGCAAACATACCCCGGACAGGATGTCTGTCCGGGAGAGGGGCTGGCAGGGGCTGAGCTGAGGAACTGGCAGGCTGGGGCTGGCGGGCAGGTGAGAGGAGGCTGGTGGACAGAGCCGCGACCCCCACCTCGCTGCCAGGCCACAGCGCAGCCGACAACAGCTCTGTCCCCTACCTGGGTTCCAGGACCAGAGGAGGCGGTGGCTGTGGCCACCATCATGGACAGGCAGGCAGGGCTAGTCCCGCTCACTCTCATTGCTGGCGCCCTCAGGCCGCCGAAGCTTCTCCACCTGCTCATTGATCTGGCCGTCCCCGCCCCGGCGGTCCTCCCTCTGCACCCCCAGGCAGTCCTCCTCGTCCACGTGGCCCACGTCGTCCTCCTCATCCTCCTCATCTTCCTTGTCCTCCCTCTTCTCCTCCTCGCCCTGCACCTCCAGCCTCACCTGGCCCTTGACGTCCACCACACCCTCACCCTCCTCCTGGGGGCCCAGCAGGTGGTACGTGACCGTGGAGCCCTCAGGGCTGTGGCCCTCCTTCCCGGGCGAGGACGACGTGGACTCGTTGCTAACCGGGGAGATGTCACTGCTGCTGTGGTGGTTCACGGCCGCAGGGCTGGAGGGCGATGGCGACTTGACTGGAATCTGCCAGGAGGGGATCTTCGGGGCTGAGGGGGACGGAGGGAACTGCCTCCTAGCAGAGGAAGCAAGAGAGGAGGTTGGTGGCAGCTCTCGGGACTCAGACCCTCAGGGAACTTGGCTGTGGTGGGTGCCCCTGGTCCTGCCGCCTTGGGCGAGGGCCCCTGACTCGGTAGCTACTGGATGGCCGGACCGGGAGGCCTGCCACACCCTGAAGCTGCTTCCTGTTCATCTTTAGCACTGTGTCACTGCCTCTACCTGGTGGCCAGGAGAGGGAGAAGGCGGGGAGCCCAAAAGGGCTTAGGCCCGGGGACCCTGGACCTCAGTTCTCACCTGTCTATGGCCTTGGCAAAAGGGCAGGGTGCCACTCACAAAGTGGTCAGAGACATCAGAACCTAAAGGGCAATGTTGGCCCACTTGCTAGAAAACCTCTGAGCTCAACTCTCTGCACAGGGAAGAGTGGCCCTCTCTTCCACTCCTGTGTTCCCTTCCTGGGCCCTGAGCCAGCAGCCAGCCCAGACCAAAGCCAATTCCAGGAGAGACCTGGAGGTCAAGTCTAGCTGGCAACGGCTCAGAGATGGAGCTCTCCGGCAGGCGGGCCCAGCTCTGCCTGAGCCAAGATGACCAAGCCCTGTCCAGTCCCACCAGCACTGGCCTGGGCATTAGCTCTCTAGCCTGGCTTGATTTTAGTGGTGTGGGACACACACACCAAGGCCACTTACCCACAATGTCCTGATCACCAACAAGAAATCTAATGTGCAATTTTCTTGATTCCAATGTCAACCGACGGCCTGCTCTCTCTGTCCCCACCTCAAAGGCCCTGATCTACATGAGGGAAAATGAAGGATTTCTCCTAATGACAACCCTCGGGACCTTTCCTGAGCTGGGCCACACCTCTGTCAAGGACTCTTTCCTTTCCTCAGGGAGGAATAGGAAGTGGGTAGCCTAGAAAATGGTGTCTCCTGGCAGGGCCACAGACCTCTCCACACCCTACTCCTGACTCCTAATGAAGTACCCACCTGGCTGCACCCCCACCTCATAAGGGCCCCACTAACCAAGCAGGGCAAAAAGAGTGAGACCAACCATCTCGGTTCCCAGGGCTAAGGGGCTGCTGGACATCAGACTTCCAATCTGAAAACCAGGATAGTCCCAGGAAAACCAGGCAAAGTTGGTCACCCTACATTCTGGGCTATGCTGGTGACAATGTGGTGTCACTGCTCAAGAATGACAGCGGAAACTTAGGAAGCTGAAGGGAGGCAGGACTGGCTCTGCCTAGGCCTCCGCAGTGGTTCTCTTCACGCTAAGTGGGCACAGGGACTGCTGGCCTCCTGCAGAGGCTTTTTTAGGGATAAAGCTGTGACCACGAGGTCGCCCAGGAGTCAAGAAGGAGGGGGGTGACCTAGTCTGGAGCCCATCCCCCATTTCAAGATGGGCCGAACCAGGGTGTTCCCTCAACTCATAGGGCCCTGCTTTTTGGTTCAAACTGTCCTTGATAAGGCCTTGGCAGGTCTGGGGAACTGTGTGAATCTCCCAACTCTGTGAGTACTGCAGGCTGTCCCCTGGAGTGGGCAGGAAAAGAGAAGCTAAAACAGTCCCCACTCCCAGTGTCTGGATCACAGGGCTTGGTCAGCGGCCAGACACACAGGGTCCTTGGGGGCACCCACCCCCAGACTGCCTAGCCAGCCTAGGAGCTCCCGGTCCCCTGTCCCAGGCCCAGCCAGAGCAGAGTCCAAGCCATCTCTCCTACCGATTCAAAAGAAGCCCTTTCAAGGAGTTAATTTCCGACTTGAGTTCATTGATATTCTGGGACTCCAAGATCCAGTTCGTAGATGTAGTGGCCTGGAAGTCAAAGCACAAGGATCAGATAGGGGCCCCTCCTGCCCGGGCAGGAGGGGCTGCGGCTCCAGGAGGGCCCTGGGCACCAGCAGCAGCATAAGGGGCATTCTGGGTCTGCTCTGGCAGCCCAAGGAGAAGGTTCTGCCTCTACCCACACAGGGGTCTGCCTGCCTGTGTCTCTCTGTATAAATGAAAACACCCTCAAAACAAATATTCCCACAACTCTGTCTGGATATCTGATGACATTAAGGAATTATTACATGTTTTTAGGTGACATGGGATTATGCAAATACAAAGTAAAATAACAACAACAAAGGAGCCCTGATCTTGTGGGGAAGCAAGCGAACAGTCTGCACATGAAGTGATACAGGTCTGGGGTTTGCTTTACCTGGGGTGGGGTGACAGGACACCTGGATGAGGCTGACAGGACTCCTGACCCCCTCTGTGTCACAGTGGGTGTTTGAAATGCCCACTAAGACAAAAGACAATACAGTAAACCTGGACCATCCCTACACCAACTACCCTCTCCACCTAAATCCCCCCCCCCCTAAGAAAAACCACCACCACATACAGAAGCAAACTCACTGCTCAACACTGGCGGGTATCTGGGCCTGGCACGTGGATGCCATCTGGAGCCTCAGGGATACCAATGACAGTTGAGTTCCTGCCCAGCCCATTCCTGCAGCCTAATCTCAAGCAGGCCCACAAGACAGGCTTTGCCATGAGATGGGACCTTCCCACACTGCTTGGGGACCTCCTACTCCCCAGGAGCAGAGGCGGCTTACCAGCAGCTCCCCGGATCGGGCCCCCACCGTCTGCAAAGCTACCCATGGGCACGTCACCCATTCACAGCTGTTCTCCTGAGAAGACTGGAGGCTCAGCACAGAGAAGCCACCAAGCAAACGACTTGACGTCGATTTCTTCCTCAGAGGCGGCCCAAGGAGGAAACAACAGCCACAGTGGTCTCTGACAAGCACTACCCTTCAATGCACATCTTTCCCTTTGAGTGTAACAGTGTTTTCAGATAATTCCCGAGACCCGCACCTTACTTTGGCCAACCCTATTGAGAGAAATGAAGAACAACATCCCCCAGATGGGGCTGCTGGTGGCCAAGCTGCCTGGGAAGCATGTTTATGGAGGATGATCCCTTATGTGCTGGCCTCAGCGTGAAGGCTACAGTCAAGTGCCCAGTGATGCAGGGCCCTCTCCAACACACTCGTCATAAGCTGGAAGAGGGGACAGTCCTGGCTACTCCCTGCCAGTTTGCTGTGGATTCTGGTGGCCTCGTGGAGGCCTGGCCCCTGATGTGGGGGCTGCTGTGGGCACACCCCTACAGGCAGCCCAGCTGGGCACCTCTGCAGGGAGAAGCCCCTTAGAGGGGCTGCAGGTATCAGGAAGGAAAACCTGGATGGCCTGGGAGTGAGCGCCAGCATAGCCTCCACTCTCACACAAGTTCCCTCAGGGTCCCCCACTCCAGACCACCAGACAGCAAGGACCCAGGAGCCACTGTTCTGGCTTCTCTGAGACATTGAAAGCCACAGCAGCCCATTAACAAGGGAGCAATTTCCACTCACCGGCCTACAAAGGACTCAGATTTCCAAACGCATATGGTGCCAGATGCCAGGATTTAGAAATAAAATCTGACATCTGGGGCTTTTTAGCCAGTCTCTTTAAAAAAACAGTTGTAGAAAACTCACAGCCTTCGGTTTTATGTAGGATTTTTAATTACTTAAAGCTCTTCTTTTTAATTTTTTACAGTGCTCCAGTAGGAGTTTGGAAGTTAGTTATAAAAACTTACATTACAGCTGAGAAAACACAGTTCTGAATCTGGTTTATGGGGTAACCGAAGTCCTCACACACAGGCTCAGATGCCAGGCCAGTGGCCCTGCCACGGGCAGAGAGGGCGGCAAAAACACCACCACAAATAACTCCGAGGCCACTCCCACATCAGCATGATCTCGGCCCCTGCCTCTGTTCTCATATTTGTTTTTGAGACAGAGTCTCCCTGTTACCCCAGGTAGAGTGCAGTGGTATCAATATAGCTCGCAGCAACCTCAAACTCCTAGGCTCAAATGATCCTCCTGCCTCAGCCTCCCGAGTAGCTGGGACTACTGGCGCCCATCACAACATCTGTCTAGTTTTTGTTTTATTTTTAGTAGAGCTAGGGTCTAGCTCTTGCTCAGGCTGGTCTCAAACTCCTGGGCTCAAGGGATCCACCCGCCTTAGCCTCCCAGAGTGCTAGGATTACAGGCGTGAGCCGCCGACGGCCCCCAACTCCTTCTTAAAAGGCAACATGTGGTCTTAATCTCAAGCACAAGGCCTGAAAACAGTTTTCCAATTTCCGGAATGGCTCCTGGCCATTGGTAGGCCAGTGATCCAAAAAATAATAGAGGCAAGGCGAGCAGGTGGGGTAACCAGCCCCCCTGCAGGCTTTATAGCCACAGCACACACGGAGGCTGGAGGTGGGGACAGGTAGCCACAGCCGCCTAAGGAGGAAGGGCAGGCACCACATCCACGTGTGGAGCGGACATTGGGAAGAGATCCCTCTTCACAACAGGCACTCGGATTCCAGCAGAAATGGAGAGATACCCATTTCACAGATTTTTGCAAGGCAGAAGATTTCAGCCCTGGCCCAAATCTAGCTGTGCACTGAGGGACTGCTTACTTGGGAGTGACTCAGAACGAGACCCTTCTGCACATAGGCTGTGTGGAAGCATCTGGGAAGCAGCTCCCATTGGCCACACAGCTACAAAGTAGGGAGTGGAGATGGGGAGGCCAACAGCTGCTATGGAGCCAATAGGCCACTGTCTCCTGGGCCCAGCCTAAGCCACTACCTAGGGGATGACCCCTATACCCACACACATAGAACCCAGGGCCTGCACAGTGCCGGGAGCTGGCTGGAGCCAGGCACCATCCTAAGCATGCAAATAGTCCAATGAAGTAGATACTATTATAGCTCCTTTTTATAGATGAGGGAATTAAGACTCAGAGAGGGTAAGTAACTTGCCTGTGGTCACAAAGCTAACAAATGGCAGAGCCAGGATTCTACCCCAGGCAGTCTGATCCTAGAATCGGACACTGCCAAATTGCTTCAGATTTAGATGGAGGCATGGATACTACCTCAGTCTATCATGGTTGGTTCTAACTCCTTAGGGTCACAAACCCATGAAACCTAGCTTCAGAGAACCTGTCCCCTGCAGTACAATGTCTTGGATGGGGCAGGTGCTGTTAACTCAGTGATGGCACATTCCTCCCCTTTCTGTTCACAGGAACCCCTCTCAGCAATGCTGTGACCTGTAACAGAACTTGCAGGTGGAGGCCAGCCCACGTCTGCACTGACAGCCTCCAGAGCGGTGGAGATGTGGCTGCCTCGACAGGTCTGCAGGCAGAGGGTGGCCTTCCCTCCCTCCTGTTGGGAGGTGACACAGAGACAGAAAGGGTGGCCCCCATGATTAAATGCCACATCAACCACACAGCAACTGTCACATTTCTGTGTAGGGCAGTGTTGTTGCTGTTGCATAACCCTCTGAAACTAGACAAAGTCAGGCCCGCAGACAGAGGCCCTCTGGGCACCAAGGACAGAGGAAAGGCTGTGTGGGGCAGGCCTGGGCCTGGGAGGTCAGAGGGGCAGGGACAAGTACCTTGGCGGCAGCCAGCTCGTGGGCGAGCTCCTGGACCTTCTGCTGCTGCTGGATCAGCAGCTCCTGCACAGAGGCAAGAGTGGTCTGTAGCTGGGTCACTGGGGAACAGAGCAGGTGTGACATTGTTAAGCTGATACTCAGAGATTTTTCTCTTCATCCACACACCTAGGAGCTGCCCATGTTCCTGCTCCGCCTAATTTATCTGCAGCCCCCCCCCAGCCCCCACCATCCATCTAATTTATCTGCACTCCGGGTAATCTGCCTGCACTGTGTCGAACCTCTAGTATTTCTACTTTATCTTTCCATTGTGTAGTTGTCCGTGGTCAACAGTATATCCGTCTAGAACCTCTCCCCTCTAATTACAGCTGGTTATGATTTGCTTGGCTCTCCCGGCTTCTACAATGCCACATCCCTCATCTCAGCCCCACAATGTCCTTGTGGAACTTGGAGAAAGTATGCAATCCTGGTAGAGACACGACTCAGGCCTCAGCAACACACAGGAGTGGTTAAAACTGCAAAGCTCATTTCCCGCTGCTCCTTCTCGCCCGCCACACCCAACCCAGAGCCTGCCTGTGCAGCACCCTAGGGTCACATGACCTGCCAGGCCTTGCTACTGCTAATGTCAGCGGGACAGATGAGCCAGAGGATTGCCCAGAGGGACATGGACTCCTGCCTGGGATGGGGCTGTCCTGCTCTCTATGCTCACGTTTTGGATTCAGAGCCAGCCTCCATCTAGTAAACAAGTTTATAGAGGAGAGAAGACACCTCTAGTGCGACAGGTCCCAGCTAATCTGGGCCATCATTGGGGCACTAGGCAATGAACGTGAGCCCTGTAGAGTCGATAACAGAGGAGGTGGACGGGGTCCCGGGAGCCACAGTAATTACAGACTCTCTTGACCTCGTGTTGGATTCTTAGAGGGAAGGGGGAAAACCACTGAAAACCCCCCTGAAAACCTCATAGAAGCAGAAATTAAAAATGAACTTTACAGCCCTTAGAAAGGCTGTCATTTTATTCCCCTTATTAATATTCTGAGGTTGGGAGCCTTTCCGTAAAAACATAATTAATTGAGGCCGCGCCGACAGTAAACAAGCAATTTCAAATTAAACCGAAATGACGGCGGCTTCATTTGCAAATGTGAACAGATTCTCAGAGCAGATAAATGAAGTCACCACATAAAGTGGAGACGGAGAGAGATGGGAGGGGGCAGAGAAGGGGCTGTTCGGGGGAGGCTTTGAGGGGTGACTTGATGGAGTCATTAATCTTTACCTGTCTGGGCCACGCTGCCACTCAGCTCGGAGAGACTGGCCTCCATCCTCTCCAGCTGCTTCCTGTCCTCTCGGCCGCCCAGGATGAGAGGGAGCAGGTATTTCTACAAGAAGCAGATAGGGGTGAGGAATGGACACGTGATAGGTTACTCTTCAATAAGCTCAAATTCTGCCCCTCAACTTTCTCCGTCATTCTCAGGTATTGGAAACCCCATGCAAACACTATAAATGAACAAGATATTTGAAAAGTTTTATAACCGTGTAAAAATTCTGCCGGAACAAGGACAGGGAATAAAGAGGGAATACAGACTAGAGAAGTCACTTGGGTCTGCTGTGATGGGTAACTTTGGGGTTCTGTTATTTTTCTTAATGATGCTTTAATACTTCAGTAATGAAAGTTTTAAATTCTACTTTAGAAGTTTTAAGTTAAAAATTATGTGGAAGGATAGCCAAGAAATCGATACAGCTGGCTACCTCCAGGGAGAAGTAGAAGGGAAGTTTCCCCTGCATACTTTTCTGAATCTTTAACATTTTGAGCTCTGTGAATGAACCACTCATTCAGAAACAAATGAGTAAAAATAAATAAATGAAAAAATGACTCAAGAAACTAAAGAAAAATCAACAGCAGATTTCTGGGACCCTTGGTTCTTTTATCAGGAGGTAATACACGAGTGTTTCAAGGCTAGTCTGGAAGAGGTCAACCTTGGTCTTTTCCTAAACTAAGCCTAAATCCTCAGCGCAAGCTTCTTTTATCTAACAGTCAAAATCAGTCAAATCCCCCCCAGAACTGAAATCCAGGGATGAGAGGGAGAGGACTGGGGAAGACCAGAAGAAACTGGCTCTGTGGGAAAAGATGGTGGACTCTGGAGGGCGACCCGCAAGGGGGACAACCAGGAAGAAGGCACAAGGGCTATGGCTGGTAACTGGCCATGAGGCTAGGCTGCCAGCTGGAGGAGCAGGTGCTCTGAAGCCTTCCTGCTCAGGACGGGAGACAAAGCCTTCCCGGGGAAGGGAGTGAGACCTGCTGCCAACTTTAATGGGTGGCGCCTGGGGTAGGGCAACACAGGCCTGGTGGGGGTCACCAGAGGATAATTTTGGTTCTTAATCTATCTGGGCTCTGGAAGGAGAGAGGACAGAAACTTCCCCATTAAGGTTTCTGTACTAGGGAAGGCAAAGAAGGTCTCTCACGAGGGCTTAGTGGGAACTCATTTCAAGAGCGACTCCTAAGTGAACATCATTATTTAGCATATGTATAGAAGCATTTGCTATTTTGCAAAGTGCTTTTCCACCACGGTGTGAATTATTACCCACAACTGAGCTAAAACTCATCACAGGCAGCCTTACGTTTCAGGTGGAAAATGTCCCAAGTATGAAAATCAAGAAATTCTCACACATGCAACCAACTAAAAGCCTCATTTCTGAGATCAGAGATGATCCAAGATCAGGGAGGGCAGGTACACTACCCAGCCTATGTCTCTATAAAGCAAGATGATGGCTTCTTACTGCTCCTTTTTTTTGGAGACAGGGTCTTGCTCTGCTGCCCAGGCTAGAGTGCAATGGTGTCATCACAGTTCACAACCACCTCAAACTCAGGGGCTCAAGTATCCTCCCACCTCAGTCTCCCAAGTGGCTGGGCCTATAGGCTTGCATCATCATGTCCAGCTAATTTTTTAATTTTTTGTAGAGATGGGGCCTCACTCTCTGATCACCGCCCAGGGTGGTCTTGAGTTCTTGGGAATGAATAATCTGTCTCAGCCTCCCAAGTAGCTAGGACTGTTGGGAGGTACCTCCGTACCCAGCTCTGGTTTTAAATACTAAGGTAGAACAACGGTGTATAAAGTACTTCCACAGGCCAGGCGTGGTTCTAAGCCCTTTCCAAAGAGGCACTGACTCCTGTGATCATCACTACAACCTCCTGAAGTAGGTACCATTATCTGTTTTACAGGTGAGAACTGAGCCTGTGCCCACACAGGTCCTCAGAGGCAGGGCCAAGGTTCAACACAGGCAGCTGGGCAGGGTGTCCATGCTCTTACTCACTACATCACTCTGTCTCTTACGCTGCTGGGCACTATCCTAAGAACCCGCCAGGAGCTGTCCATGGATGACTCTCACGATCCTGCTGGAGGTCGAACATGACAAGAGGTGGGTTGGAGCCTGCCAAGCTTCTCTAGCAAAGCAGGGAATCACCCCAGGCATCTCCCCCAACCTCCACCACAGCTTCCCCATTGTCACCAGGTTCCAGGGATAAGTGGGGCAACATCTCTGTGCAGTGAGCCAAGGACCCATGAGACGGAGGCTAAACGCCAGAGGGGAGCAGGGACATAGGACATGCAGCTGCTGAGAAGGTGGCTCACCTTGTAGAGCTGATGAAAGCCAAATGCAATCCCTGCCATGATGATGGCCAAGGCACCATAATCTCGCCATCGGGAACCTGCAGGGCCTGAGGAAGGGAAAAGAGAAGCATTAGGACAAGTGGCACATGGCATCCTCCCTTGGGGAGGGCAGACGTAGTGCCTCAGTGGCAATGTCTCCTTGCCTCCGATGACAAGCAATGGCACCCAGACGTGGGCAGTGTATGATTCTCAGCAACATCAGTGCAGCCTTGCCCTCCTCTTCCCAGGTTCTCAGAGACACCCGCCTCAACTGGGACAGGAGTGATAGCCAGTCACCTGGCACTGTGTGCTGCTGGGTGAAGGTGTCCAGCAGTGAACTGAGTCCCTGAGTGGCAGAGGTGATCTGAGGACCTACAATCTGGTCTACCTCCAGAACAAAGGATCTAGAGAGGATACTGTGAACAGACTTGAGTGTGCGTAAATTACACCTACCCAGGGCCCTACCACACCAGGGATATACCAGGGGCCGCTACAGAACAGAGAGGATGTGTGGTGAACAAGATGGGGTGGGACCTGTGGTGAACTAGGCCTCCCTGCTCTGCTGTCATGCTGAGCCAGTGGAGAGATGATCCAAGTCTACAACTGACTGAGCGAGGCAACTCAGATGCTGAGTAATATGTCCACCCAACAGGGATGCGAGAGTGGGGTGCTGGGGAGAGGGGCCAGGCAGCAGGGCCCTGGAAGAGACCTGCTATCCTGGGGGCAGAGGAGGAACAGACACAAAGGAGAGAAGATGGGTCAGTGTAGACCAGGCGACCACCCAGGCCTTTCCTAGGAAAAAAGAGCCATCTAGGCCCAGAGAGGCAGAGTTGTGTAAGCCAGGGAAGCAGCGGAAAGAGGCAGATGGGGTAGGGTCACTGGAAAGTGTGGCTAAGGAACCCGAATAGTATTTCACAAGCAGTGGGGAGTCGCTGAAGGGTCTGCATTGGGAGTGCCAGGATCTCAGAGAAGTGGGAGGTGGAGGCAGCCAGTGGTGAGTGGGTGGGGAGGTGGTGGCTCGTGCCAGGGTCCACAGAGGTGGACAGGGGCTGGGGCAGAGGCTAGGACCGGAACCAAGTGCAGAGCAGCCCTGGAAAAATGCTCTGGAAGGAGCCACCAGGCCTGGTGGGGGAGCAGACTCCAGGCCCAGTTCCCCGGGGAGTCCCAACTCCCTAATACAACTGCAGCTGCACAGAGGGGAGGGGAGGAGAGGCCCCTGCTGCACCCCTGCCCATGTACAGTCCACATCGTCACTGCCCTCTGAGACACACAGGAAACCATCAGCTCCACTCTGAGCCCTTCAGGAGTTACCCTTAGGCCAACAGGTGTGTGCTCTGCCTACTCTTAAGAGATGTGCCCTCGGGAGGGGCAGAGGCCACTGTTCCAGAGTGTCCAGAGGTGTGGAGCACAGACCAGCATGGAAGGAGATCACAGCCCTGACGGGCAGTTACCCAGAAGGCCCTGGATGCATGCTGCTGTGAGACGGAATCGGGCCTCGGAGGAGAATCGGGGGAAGGGCAGCGCCGCCAGGTGAGCAGCTGGTCTTCCTCCCTCACAGCCACCTGTCCTTCGCCTTCACTGCTCACCTGCGCCTGTGAGCTCTTAGGTGAGGAGGGGGCTGTTCTTTAGGTTCAGGACAGGATGTGGGCCCATGGAGACCAAGAGCTGCTGGCAGGAGGCACAACACACAAGGAATCCAGTCACAGAGACCCCAAGTGGTAAGGGAGACACCCCCTCTCCCCACTGCTGAATGGGGCTCACAGGAGGCAGAGTGGACATGAGTGGCAGGCTTGGCGTCTCTCCTTGGTCATCCCACCCCTAGCCCCCAACCACAGACTCCACGTGAGATTCCCTGACATGGCCCAGCCTTGAGTCTCAGTCTCAGCCCCTGACTCCCAATGTTCCCCTTTTTTGAAAAGGTGACACATATGGTTTACACATCAAATCGCATCCTGTCCACCACAGCCGTGTCCTGCACACTCTTTCCCTAACCACCAGATACTGGGCAGGCTGCTGGCACGAGTTTCTCTTCCCCCTGTTTGCAGTCTTCTTTCCTTCTACAGCCGTATAATATTCCGTGAAACTTTCCCCACAGACAGGCAACTAGCCCAATTCCCATCTTCCCCCATTTCACACAACGCCACCATCTCCCACACAGGTTCACGAGCACCTGTGAGCCGACGAGCCCCTGGAGGCCGGGTCACGGGCTCCTGCACGTCATGCGAGCTGCTGCCACGCCGCCTACATGGGGCCCAACAACATCGCCCCACAGCCTGTACACAGCGGCTGCTCCCCACAGCAGCGCCAGCAAAACGTGTTACTAAGACACAGAGATTCCTGCCAACACGGCAGAAAACAGAACTTCACTCTAGACCTAATTTGCATCCATCTTATTTTGAGTGAAGACTGAACGTCTTTTCATCAGTATTTCCTTTTCGGTGTACTGTGTGTTCTCCACTTTTCTACTTGATTTCTTTTCTCTTATCACCTTAGAGAGACTTTTTATATAGCAGAGATATTAGCCCTTTGTGATATGAATCGCAAATATCGTCTCTCTTTTTCTTTTGACTCTAGTAATGGTGTTCTGTGGCATGGAGACATTTTCCTGTTTATATAAATTTACCAATCTCTTCTTTTATGGGTTCTGGGGCTTGTGTCACGGCTAGCTAGGACTTTCCCACTCCCTCCTGAGGCTGTGCAGAGACCCTGGGCATTCACCTAAGAAACCGTCCCAGGAGTGAAACAAACTGCTTTGCCCACAGCAGCCATCCCCACCCGACATGAGTTGCCTCTCGTTAAACAGGGAGCTCTGAGACGGCGGTGGCATGTGGATCCTTCACCTTGACCCTGAGGGGCCGGGCACTCAGAATCCCGCCAGGGTTCTCCGTGTTTCCTTCTCTTCTAGTCAGCTTTGCTCACAAAATCTCATGTACAGTTCAAGTTCATTTTTAGGAGGGAAAAGGGAAGACAGAGCAACTCTGTCACTCTTTGAGAGAGTCAGCGCTCAGGAAGGCTTTAATCCATACCTAGTACATCCCTCTTGCAGTCAAAACCCTCAGAGAGAACATCTTCAAAATGGGGGCTGCATCCAGAACACAGAGTTAACCACTGACTTTTCAAATACTCACTACATCTCTTAGAAGCAGCAGTTGTACCCAAGGTAAAAACTTGATCAGAACCCAAAGTTTGCTGGATCCTTCTGCTCTCCTGCACACGGAGAGCACCACAAAAAGCACAGCCAACTCCTCTCGGGTCCTCTGAGCCAAAGCTGAGCTCTTTCCAGGGCCCTGAGCTCCTGCAGCCCCTAGAAACACCTGTGGGTCCCTGCCAGCCTCACCCTTCACCCCTCACAGCTCCTCGCTCCTGCCATGCTCACATTAAGAACATTTTATTGCCCCCTGGTTTTCATTATTAATGAAAAGGGACCAGAATGATCTTTCCTAAAGTTCAGAGAGTCTATAAAGACAAGAAGCTGAAATGCCATTTTACTCGTTTTGGAGATGTGTGATACAATTCTGTCTTGTGGCAAAATCAAAAAAGAGAAAAACTAGGATGGAGATGACCCTCGCCCACTGCACGTATCTCAAGGGTAACAGACCAGAGCTACCCCAAGAGCTCAGGGTGACCCAAACTGGCTCAACCCCCCCGGCCACAACCACCTGCATTCCTGCCCCTGCCCACCAATGTTTCCAAGTCAGTGGAGACCCATGAGAGACCTGAGAGCAGGGCACCTGGGAGCATGGCCTCCTGCCTCCACGCTCCTCAGATGTCCAGACAAGGGCAGAAAACAGGGCCAGCCACTCATCTGCTCTAGCTGGATGAAGACCTTGGATGAGTGAGCTCTGTAAAAGCTTCAGCCCCTCCTGTCTGGTCCACGCACAAGGCAGATGAGAGGGCAGGAAGCCAGAGGTCACAGTCCCTGGTGTCACAGCATCATCCAGATGCTTCCCAAAGACACCTTTCTCTTACCAAGCTCTTGACAAGGTGACAGGGCTTTGCTAGCCCCACAGAACCCAGGAAGTGTGAATTCCAACTCTGGCTCAGACCTGAATTGTCTACAGCGCCTCCCCAGCAGGCACTGCCAATTGACAGCTGGTTCCTTACCACAGCCTCGGTGTCTCTGAGGCTGCAGCAGCTAGCACCTGCTCGACTAAGTGGCCTTGGGACTGCTCCAATGCTATGGGCTGCAGTGGGGAGGACTCTATGAACTAACTTAACGTGCGCCCTGCCAGTCTCCATGGAGGTCTGTCCACCCAGAAGCTCAGGGCTTAGGTGAAGCCTTGGTGGACAGCAGCCACATCAGCACCAGAGCTATTGCCTTCCACAGCTCCTCACCTGTTCACCGAACACCAATAAAACCCAACAGCACTCAATTTAACTATATCTCAGCAACCAAGAAATTCTCAGCTAGAGATGAGAGCAAAGATCGTCCAATAAGAATACATGCATGGGCCTGGGACTCGCAAGCACAACACGGCAATGTTGAGCCTGAAATCGCTAAGGCGTGGGCTCATCCATCAACACCCTAGAAATCCTACAATCCAGCAAAGGGCCATCAGCAATACAGAGCTGAGAGCAAAGTTACCCTGCTGAGACAATCTGTGCTTTAGTGATGTGCTAACTGACAAGAAGGAGAGACTGTCTCGTCCTTGGGGACAGCAGCGGCAGCCCACATATGCAGCTGGCAGTGGCAGGCATCGGGCAGGCCAGCTGAGTCCCCTCCACACTGAGCAAGGTGGGAGCCCCAACCCCATACAGCAGTGTATCAGATCAGCCCATCAACTTTGCCTGGAAGCCACCCTGAAAATGAAACGCTGTGACAAGGCCATCCTCAGTAAGGCCCTGGAATAAAGCCAGTTCAAGGAATCAGTGCTTGCTATAGCATGGAAGTGCTGGGCCACAAGCACAGAGAGATTGGTGACAAGCTCAAGGTCCCACAGGCTATGCTGAGGAGGCTGGCAGAGCGTGGCAGGTGTGTGGGGAGGGTGACAAGGAAGCACATGGCTTTGGATGGCTAGTAGTGGTCAGTCAGAAGGGCAAACCAACCTAGAAAGCACAAGCAGACACA